GCGCGTGTCGGGTCGAGCGCGTGTCGGGTCGAGCGCGTGTCGGGTCGGGCGCGTGTCAGGTCGGGCGCGTGTCGGGTCGGTCGCTTCTCAGGTCGGGCGCGTGTCGGGTCGTGCGCGTGTCGGGTCGGGAGCACGGCGGGTGTAATTCCGTGTATTTATATGGACGAAAACACCACGAGCGCGCGCGGGACCCGACCTATGCCCCGTGTCCGCTGGCAAGAGTGTTTTACGCTTTACAGTGTGAAAGTGCCTAAATCACTTTGGTAAAATGAAAACGAGTCCATTAATGACAGTAAAGTCTATAACTGTTTTATACATTATTTATTCAACATTTTTCATATAAAGCATTGGAAATTAAATACACATACGAAAGACGAATTCATAAATATACATATAAGCGAGCGAAGACACGAGAGTGTTATGTCAAATAAACAACCCTCAATAATAAAATTGATGAATTAGAAAATGTAATTTAAAAAAAACTGACAATATTGATTTAAAAAAATAACGTACAGTCAAGAGAACAGCTTAACATTTTGGAATTTGCACCGTTGTTATTTTAAGTGGCATAGAGTTAAATTAAGTTCCTCAAAAAAGTTGATTTTCAAATTAGACATTTTATTATTGAGGGTGTGATAAGATATTGAATAAAGAAGACTGACAAGCGAAACTGGAATAAGAAAGAGATTTTTAAAACTATTTTTCTACCGACGAAGTTTGTTTGTTCCGTTGCAAGTTTTCAAGTCCATAATGAAAGAAAACTAAGGTAGAAGACAACCAATTCGATTTCGTTATTTGCAGCAAAGAGGTGCTCGCACCTAATTACACTCTTGCGCATCATATGCTGACGGCCTGCGTGGTCGAGTGGCTTACACACCGGTTTTCATAGTGTCGCCATCTCTGAGGTCCCGGGTTCGATCCCCGGCCGAGTCAGTGTAGAAACTAACTTTTGTATATTGTCTTGGGTCTGGGTGTTTGTGTTACCGTCGTTGTTTCTGATTTCCATAACAAGTGCTTTAGCTACTTACTTTGGGATCAGAGCAACGCATGTGATGTTGTCTCATATTTATTTATATTTACATACAGAACATATCCTCTCTCATTACACTAATACATTTTCTCTTATACATACTTTTTTATCTAAATCTATTCTGTAATAACCTGACTGTATTTGTTATATTGCTTGTGAAGTAGATAAATAAGTGAAACATAGACTCCCATAATACAGGTTGGCCCAGCTTGAAAGTTATACGTGGTGCGCACTATAAGTTTCCGGAATGAATAAGAAAAAAATACTATAAATGGTCAGAAATGAATTTATTGTTTCTCAAAATATTCTCCGTTAGCGTTAATGCACTTTTCATACGAATGAACCAATTTTGAAAACATTATGCCACTCCTCCGTGAATCTCTGAAACATATTTTTCATTCTCTTCGACAGCCTCTTCAGGTGATGAAAATCGTTGACCGCGTAACTGGTTCTTAATTTTTGGAAATAAATAAAAATCACAAGGTGCCAGATCGGCACTGTACGCGTGATGGCTCATAAGGTCAACGTTGTTCACCTTCAAAAATTCATTGGTCTGTCTGGCCGTGTGAGAACTGGCATTATCGTGGTGCAAGATGATACGGCGTATACGGTTATTTTTACGGAGTTTGTCAATAACTTTGGGGAAAAAAATGGTCGTGTACCAATCACTACTCACGGTCCAACGATTCTCCAAAGCAACAGTAGCCACGAGTCTAGTTTTATTAAAAAAAGAAGCAATCATCCGCTTAGAGGCACTTTGCACGCGCGCCACTTTGGTTGGTTTCGGCTCATCTCGAAAGACCCATACACTCGATTGCTGCTTTGTTTTGGGATCGTAACTATAAATCCATGTTTTCGTCACCTGTTACTATATCCCACATAGGCTCCTTCGTTGAATCTGGTTAGCATGTCATTGCACCAAGTGACGCGATACGTTTTTTGAGCCTCAGTCAAATTGTGTGAGATCCACCGAGAGCACAGCATTTTCACACCCAAATGTTTGTGTAGTATTGATTGTATTTGACTCGTGCCTATGCCTAAAGATGCCTGAATCTTATGGTATGTCACATGCCTGTCTGTTTCGATCATACGGCGCACAGTATCGATGTTTTTGTTGTTCACAGCATTGGACGGGCGACCATCACAAAATTCGTCACTGAGATTCATACGACCGCGTTTGAATTCTGCAAACCAGCTATAAATAGTCGTCTTGCATGGTGCTTCATCGCCAAAAGCAGTTTGAGGCCGAGTGAAGCTCCGCTGAGCTGTTAAATTACGCTTAAAATCGTAGAAAATCATACTACGAAAGTAGTACTACCTTTTCACGAGTTAAATCCATGGTAATGTAGACAACCAATTTCTAAAATGACACTACAATGTAAAAACAAGTGACAGTCAGATGAAACAAACTGTATTCTACAGCCAAAAAGTTCCATTTTCAAATGTTGTAATTACTTTTTAATTATTATTTATGTAAGTGTACTTATAGTGCGCCCTATGTAGGACAAATAACCTCCAGACAATGGTATCTAGCCATAATTGTATTGTATTTTTTTTTTGTAATAACTAATGTGATCATACGTCCCACTTTGAGCGGGACAATCTCGCTTTTAAGCTTCATGTCCCGCTATCACCAAAATACTTAAAAATGCTCCGCTTTGGCAAAACAGGATACACGTGACAAATTTAGAAATATGGCGCGAAAGCGAAAAATATGTAAAGCAACCAGACTATTCAAAAATATTACAATTTTTAATAATTTCTATAATAATTTCATTGCTCAAATATTTTATATGCGCGTAAAAACATACATAATTTTGTTAAAAAAGAAGTTATCCATAATATTAACCTTAGAACTAAGTCCAAACTCATGGTACCACAATTTCGTTTAACTAAGGTAAACGATTATTTTACGGGAAACTGTATACGTTTTTACAATAACATTCCGGAACATATATCAAGATTACCATTTCCTAAGTTTAAAACTTATTTTAATTGAAAAGTCATATTACAAAATTGTAGACTTCGTGTTAGATAAAGATATATTTAAAGACAACATGAGTCTAGATTCCATACAAATATGATTCAAAATGTATTCTATAGCATTTAAGTTTATTTGAAAAGAGCAATCCTTTCTTGCTCGTTCTTCTCAGGGAAGTCGGCACAGTGAACGAGCAGTAGCTTAAAAATGACGTTTTCAAGTGTAAAAATATTAGCTATGAAGTAAATGATTATTTGACTTTGACTACCATAAACATGGGTTTTTTTAAACAATAATAAATGAAATAAGTCCCGCTTTGAGGGTAAAAAACAATGGTCACATTAGTAATATCTCATGTTTTGTAATAAACATAAAGATGTGAGAATAACGAAATCCTACTGGTAAAATTGTTGTCTTTACACCACACATTACATGATTACACGTCATTGAATTTAACCAACCAGTATAATACTGCGATTCGGTACAAAACGTGTACAAAATTTGTTTGTTTTAAAAATAGTTTAAGATATACAATTCTATAGGCAGATGACACATGTTGTGAAAGAAAGCAACGTACCAGATTCCCAGTGGCGCTGTTGGTGCCGTTCCCGGCGGGCCTCCGCGGGGCAGTGGTCGTGCCGGAGGACGCGGCTCCGGGCGCCGCTGGCGCCGGTCGACGATCTTGCGGCTGCGTCGTGTGGCGCACCAAGTTCGGGTTCAGTTTGCGAATTTCCTCCAGCTACAAAAAAAATGTGCAATCCGTTAAAACAAATTCCGCCGCTGCTGCGGCACGCTCGCTTCGTTCGCTCGGCTCGTGCAGCTTTTTCATATACTAACCTAACCTACACCTACAGGAAGAGGACATACCATCTAGGTAATGCAAACAAATTTGACTGCCGCTGCCGCGGCAAGCTCGCTTCGCTCGCAAGACTCGTGCGGCTTTTCATATAACCTGAACCCACATGAGGGGGTCGACCTAGCCAGGAAAAACAAACAAATTCGGCTCTAGTACTCGCCTCTCGAATACTTAAGACCATTGTTTTTAAATTACATTTCAGAAGCACTGCACCAGCAAAGTGCAATCCTGAATTTTGGAGCTTTACGGTAAAATTGTATGGCGGTACAATTTTATCCAAGAATAATAATTTTGTCGAAACGAATTTTCAGCAATCTAAATTATATGGAATACGGACAGAATAACAAACATAATTAGACCAAACAAACTTCAGCCCAAAGAATACGTATGTGTTATAATGATTGTAATAATAGGTTTTCGGACATACGATACTTCTAACGATAATATTTGCTATTAACATTTGTATGCCAGTTACTGGCGCAACACGCTGAACCATAAGTGTAATCTTAAACATGTAAACTGTATTTACCGTGTATGCTTACAAATAAATATATCTCTATCTCTTCTGCTGTAACACATTTATATGTTGCAAATTTATACCAAAACTGTCATCGCACCAATGAAAAAAAGTCGAACCGTTTTCGGAACAATGAAATCTGGACAAAAGAAATTCGAGTTTGTGATAGGTTACCCTAAATTTGACATAAGAACAATATTACTTTAATGTCAAAGTCGCGTCATAGTACGAACTGAGTGAATAAATAGTCACAAAGCTGCCAATAACATTATAATAAGCTCACATTAAGCGCGTCATGGTACGACAACTCAATGCAAGGTTAAAGTAATATTGTTTTAAGAGGTTGTGGTAGGCCCCCAGACGTGTGCGAGCTTTTCACTCTAAGACGACGCTATAACAAATGAAAAACCAAACCTGTTGCACTAATTCTTGGTTGCGTTTTTGAACGTTCCTTAAGTCCGTGAGGACGTTCTCTTTTTGGCAAGCCATCTTTTCACGAGCCTCACGCTCTGCTTCGAAGTCACTTCTAAAAAAAGTATTTGTTTCTTTAGTAATTGCACGAAAAGAAAATAATTAACATAATATTGCCATTATATTGTCTCATACAGCTAGCGTTTCCAAGCGTCCGGATAAAGCCAGATATAGTTAGACTTTTTTGGCTGCGTATTCGACCAAATTAGAATCCTTGAAAATGCAGTGTCCAGCCTTTTTACCCAAATTTCCGGCTAAACTGGCTGACCGGCTATTTGGTTTTAAAACCTGACATCCCTGTTTACAACATTCTAGTACATACATATAAAGGTAGTATAGTACACATATAGGTTTAGGTAATTATTGTTGGACCAGAATTTGATGGCACTTAAGACAAATTTAAATTTGTAGTCGGCAACAACAATACACTACGAAAAAATGTATTAGACACATCATATATTTTAATAATGATGAATTTGTGTACGCGAAAGGTAAGTAATTTCTGACACATTTTAAAATTAAATGTATATATAAAAAAAATAAAAAAAAATAAACACAAATATATCAATTAAATTGTGGGTAATATATAGATTTAGTTACGTTTGCAGTTTGAAGTAACTCGCATTTTCGATATAAATTACCTGTACAAATCAAGCTGCGTCTTAAGTAGCTCCGTGTCCTCCTTCTCACTTCTCAGTACCTTAAGCTCGGCATTGAGTGTGTTAATCTCCTGGCCGCGAGCGACTAACGCAGCTGTTAGTGCTTCTACGTTCGGGCCGTCAGCTAGTTTCTGCATAATTAATTCATGATTAATTTAATATTTATTCATTTATTTATTTACCATAACTTAGGATTAACAATTTTACTTATTTGATGTCTGACTACGTGCCAACTATAGGTCTCGAAAGACCTATCTGAGCTAAGTCCGCCATTTTCGCTTTGTATGGTATGGTTGTGTCATTCTTTCGTGCAAATTTTCTAAAATCCTAGATAAATGACTTTTGGAGTGCTAAAATTATAGCAGCACCAAAAATATTACCCGTGGTTGTATTTCATATCATCGAATTTATGTTTTGAACGCCACCTGTTGGCGGCGAGAGAAGAGCCCCTACTATTCAATGGTCACACCACCAGAACCTGTTTCTACTTTGTCTGATAAACTATCAGGCGTGCCAATTTGCCACCGACAGAAGCCAGTACCGCCACTGTGTGTAACCACTCTAACATTTGATATGTTGTATTTCAAATTGTTTGGAAAGCAAGAAAATAGTTTCAATAAACCCCTGGTTTCTTTAATATCTCACATGTATATATAATCATCACAGTACAGAGTACTAAAAAAAAACCGACCTCAAAAGTACGTGGAATTACGTCTATTTGCTAAGTTTTATTGAAATATCCCCTAGTTCGCCACTATACAGGACTTGACACTGGAGATAATAATAATCGGTTCTCACTACTCAAAGATATTGAGAGAAAAACGCCTTGAATTGGAGAAATAGCAAAATCAACCATTAAAATAATTGCTCTTAATTTAAAGTTAGGCGCTATTTACAAAAATGAATCTTCATGCGTGAACAGGCACCCTTAAAGGTGGATGATTTTCTTCAAAATGAAATGGAACCACTATGGAAGTACCCCCGCAACAAAAAAAGAATCATGAAAATCGGTTCACAAATACCGGAGTTATCGCGTAACATTCATACAAAAAAAGAACAGTCGAATTGAGAACCTCCTCCTTTTTTGAAGTCGGTTAAAAAGTTGATTGTTTAAGTGTCAGTTTGTTTTTGTATCGTCGCGCGTTTGTGTGTGCGTGTTTGTAAATTGGTACGAGTCATAATACACTTGTTCAATGTACTCACAGTTTCCTTATTGGTCGACACCTTTTTGAGCAGTTCATTGTATTCCTTAAATATGCCTTCGAATATGGTCAGAGTACATCTTACTTGGCCACTGTAACGCATAATGAACCACAAATAATTTAAGTTGTGAAAAAACATCGAACCTAAATGAAAAAAATATTTTTTAGAAAAAATAATAAAATTAATACTAATATGAGATATAGTAATTTATGTGACTGTTATATAATGAAAGGCATTAAAATACGAGTATGGGTTTACGAAACGAGTCGAAAGGCGAGTTTCATAAAAATTATCACACGAGTGTTTTAATGCCTAATTATGTACAGTTACATATACTGCTTTATCTATACACATATTATAAGCTCTAAGACGTGTTCGGCAACCGCATGTTACGACTGGCGAAATGGCGGCTAATAAAAACTTTTCTCACGCATGACACGCAACCGAATTTTTTTTATTCATAGACAAACTAGAGTCGGCCCAAACTATCATATCGTTCGAAATCAAGTGACGTGTGAGATCTGTCAAAATTGTTTGCTATTGACATTCCATTTCGAATAAAACTTCATCTGGACTGATATTGGAATTGAGGTCGAATCAAATTGTTTTGTTTTCCAGAGATGTTCAAAATTTTAATGAAATAATAAAATCGAATTCGATGTTATTATTATGCAATAATAGCATTTTCGCAGATAAAAAATTTGTTCTAACAAAACAGTTTATCTTCATGCTGGTCGTAATTTGCAGTTTTTGAACACATCATAAAGGGTTTATGACATGTGTGTAGATAAAATAATTATACCTATCTAACTTTAACTAACAATATACTACAGGCCTACCGCTTAGCTGAGTTGGTTCATCATGAGGTAGCTACGCGGTGTGGGAGGAGTGAGGATAGGTACACACGGCGACGTATGCAAACGCGCGTTCATGAAACGCGTGATTGCATACCTACACTTGCGATTCATAGGCGATTGCATCGCAATCGCGCGTTTGTATCCATGCAGTCGCGCATTCGCATCGCTGCTTAAAATCGCCGTGTGTAGCGACTCTGACAATTTACGTAACAGTTATGTCGTGCTGCACACTGGATAATTTTAACAAGAATTTTCAGACGATATTCAATGACAAGTTTATTGAAATAAGTGCCATTTCAAATATCAATGAAATACGCTTTGTTTAGTATAGAAACACATCGATTCACGTGACTTACATTTACACTGTACATTTTTTTCAATTATCGATATATTTCATCCCTAGCAAATACAGTGTAATTATGAAGTAACCTTTACACGTCGTAAAAATAAATGAATTAAAAAAAATGTTTTACATAGGTTTTATATTTATTTTACATGTTTTATGTTTGTAACATGAAAAAATGAAACTATTTTTCATTTCCTATGTGGAACAATTCCGAAAACCTAAGAACTAGAAAAAATTGTTTGTTTGCCGTTCGTTTGTCACAAATGAACATTGATTTGGTGTTATTTTTACTATCATTTTATGTATTAACTTAAACAAAAACTATCATCACGAATGAAAATAAAATCGAATGTTATAAAAAAACTCGAATCAGGAACGCATTAGACATCACTAATAGATTAGAAATCGAGCTGTCAAAAGTTAAATAAATGGTTGGATGGAGTATAGTAATTTCTTGCTTAGGCTGCTAACAGATTGACTGCAAACAACAAGTCAATATGTTAAATTGAAAAACATTCGTTCTTCCATTAGGCTACTACATTTCATTTCATTTGTCACCCATAACTGTACTACAGCTTTAAAAAAACTTACATGTTATTCAGAGTCATGCTATGGTGCTTCTCCAGTTGCTGCTTCATCTCTCCAAGCCCGTTCTTAAACTGTTCTGCTGTCGTCCGTTCCAGCTTGTAGTCATGCAGACTCGCCACTACGCCTAGTGATTGAACTAGGCTGTCTGACGCGCTGAAAAATAAAAGATACGACTGTAGAACAGTTGCTGCTGTTTAATTTTACAATTATGAATATTAATTCTAGTGTCGGCGGATTAAAGCACATAAGTAAAAAAGTGCTTCATTTGTTAAGAGGGAGCACAGGAAAAATTCCTAATCTTCGATTTGATTTTAGAGGGGTATATCCACTTTAAAGTTAAAAATAAAATATTGTA